AGATGAATTCAAATTAAAACAGGCAGAACTTGAAATGAGGGAAAGGTTAGAGATGGAGAAAATGAAAATTGAAATGGTCAACAAAGTAGAAAGCAACACTAATGTAGAGTCAAAATCAGATCATTTTGATGCAGCAAAAAATATACGTTTGGTTCCCAGATTTTGTGAAAAAACAGTTGATAAATATTTTCCACAGTTTGAAAAAATTGCTCAAAATTTGAAATGGCCAAAGCCTTATTGGACTACAATGCTGCAAAGTGTTTTTGAAGGCAAGGCCAGTGAACCGGTTGTGGATGTTAAATCACCACTGGCAGACGATGCTGAACTCTATCCAGCTTTTGGTGTTACTAGGGCGGTGGCAAGAAAACAACAAAAAGAGGATTTGCAAGAAGAACAGTTTGAATACATTGACCTTTCTGACACTTTCCTTGCCGCCATTGAAGGTCCTGGTAGCACAGAGAAGGCTATAGTAAGACCACCTAGTAATGACAAGAATGTAATTATGCCATGGCCAGACGTGAACAGTCATTCATAAAACCGAAGAAAATTAGTTGGAAGAACAAAATAAAGACCCTGAGGTTCTTCAGCTCCGCAAACGGGCACAACCACAGGAGGAAGCAGACAAAGTGGCCGAATGCTATTACCATCAAGACGGCATTATAATAAGGAAGTGGAGGCCCCCTTATGCTATCCCAGAGGAGGCATGGAAAGTGATATACCAAGTGATGGTGCCTAAAGTCTATAGGCAAGAAATTATTGGTCTTGCCCATGACACCCCCTTGGCTGGACACTTGGGTATAAGGACGACTTGCCTGAAGATCTTGCAGCATTTCTACTGGCCCAGACTTAAAAATGATGTCACAGAATACTGCAAAACATGCCATATTTGCCAGGTTGTTGATAAGCCTAACCAGAAAATACCACCAGCACCACTTCTGCCAGTTCCAGCCTTTGAAGAACCTTTCAGCAGAATACTAATTGACTGCGTTGGACCTTTACCAAAGACCAAAGACCAAGACTGGAAATGCGTATTTATTGACGATCATGTGACAATCATGTGTACATTCATTCGCTTTCTTGTCGGGTTTATTTCAGCAAGTCGTGTACCAGTTAGGGATTGCTCAGTATACATGTAGGTCAAGTGCTTATCATCCAGAATCTCAAGGTGCCTTAGAACGTTTTCATCAAACATTGAAGAACATGATTAGAACTTTTTGTATTCAATTTGACAGGGACTGGGGTGATGGTGTTTTTGTGGTCCGAGAGGCTGTTCAAGAATCCCTTGGTTTTAGTCCCTTTGAATTGGTGTTTGGTCATACTGTAAGGGGACCTTTAAAATTGATTAAGGAAAAATTGCTTACTGAACACACTGACTTGAATCTTTTAGACTATGTATCTAGATTTAAAGAAAAATTGTATACTGCTTGTCAAATTGCTCAGAAAACTTAAAAACTGTTCAGAATAAGATGAAAATATGGTATGATAAAGATGACAGGGGCAGATATTTTGAGCCTGGTGATAAGGTACTTGTATTTTTGCCAGTCCCTGGACATCCTTTACAGGCTAAATATTGTAGTCCTTATATATACCATAGAGAGTAAAATAAATGATTTGAATTATATTGTAAAAACACCAGGTCGGCGTAAACAAAATAGAGTGTGTCATATTAATATGTTAGAACCATATTTTGAGCGCACTAACGAAGGTGAGAATAAATCAGTTGCCACTTTAGCCATGGTTAAATTAGAGAACAATCATGACAAACCAGATAAAGTTGAACCACTCTTTAATTCTAAAACTATGGAACAAACAGTTAGATTGAAATATTCAGAAATTTTGTCAAATTTAGACTCCAAACTTGCATATCTGATTTTTGATCGTAGAGAAAAATTAAAAACTTTGGTATTTTCTTTTAAAAATCTTTTTCCAGATGTACCAAACAAAACCACTGCCGTTTGTCATTATGTCGATGTAGGTGATGCTTCTCCAATTAAGCAACATCCTTACCGGCTCAATACACTTAAACTTGAATTTATGAGACAAGAAATTAAATATATGCTTGACAATGATATTATTGAGCCGAGTAACAGTGAATGGAGCTCTCCTTGTCTCCTTGTGCCCAAACCAGATGAAACCTTTCGTTTCGTAACTGATTTTTGAAAAGTAAATTCAGTTTCAAAATCTGATTCCTATCCGATTCCAAGGATAGACGACTGCATTGATAACATTGGACAAGCAAAATTTGTGAGCAAATTTGATTTATTGAAAGGTTACTCGCAAGTACCAATGACACAGAGAGCTCGTGAAATGTCAGCTTTTGTAACACCAAACGGCTTATATCAGTATATACTGTCATGCCGTTTGGTATTAAAAGTGCTCCAGCTACTTTCAAAGAATGTTCAATAATGTTATAAAAGATTTAGACTGTTAGAATGCTGGGAAGAGCATTTAACACATGTATATGATAATTTTGATAGATTGTCACAATCAAATTTGACTGTAAATCTTGGTAAACGTGAATTTTGTCTGGTCACTGTTGATTATTTAGGGCATACAGTTGGCCAAGGTCAAGTGAAACCTATTATGGCTAAAGTGGATGCAATTGCCAAATTTCCTCCTCATACAAATAAAAAACAACTTATGAGATATTCAGGCATGATAAGATTTCACAGAAAATTTTGTTCAAATTTTGTTACTGTTGTTCAACCATTGACTAATCTTTTACGGAAAGATTCTAAATTCATCTGGAGTGAAAATTGTCAAAACGCTTTTGAAAACAGCAAATCACTTTTAATTAATAGTCCAGTTCTGATCACTCCAGACTTTAAAAAGCAATTCAAACTTGCCGTTGATGCAAATGATGTAGGAGTTGGAGCTGTTTTGTTTTAAGAGACAGATAATAATGTTGAGAAACCTATATCATATTTTTCTAAGAAATTATATAAACATCAGAAAAATTATTCAACTATTGAAAAAGAGTGTTTTGCACTGTTGTCTGCACTTCAACATTTTGATGTATATTTAAATCCCACTATGTATCCTATCCTGGTTTATACTGATCATAATCCTCTCACCTTCATACATAAAATGAGAAACAAGAACCAGAGGTTAACTAGGTGGAGTTTATTGTTACAGGACTTTGATGTTATTGTAAACATATTAAAGGTAAAGTAAATATTATAGCAGATGCTTTATCTATAACATTTAAAACACTGTATACATACTATGTATTTTTGTATACATTGTTCATGAAAAGTTCTTGTTACACTCAAATTTTTTTTAAGGGGGGAGGTGTATTGTAACTATTATGTTTATTTAGTTGGCCTAATTTGTTTTGTGTGGCCTTATAGTTGTTTACAAACTAATATTGTAGTTGTGCAGTTTAGAAATCACTGGTACAATCAGGGAATGATTAGAACTTTCTATTTTACTTACATAACGATTCCAGAATTATCATAATAAAAGATGCGTAATTTAAACGTCAATATTGTTCTAGAAATTTTCGTTCTACAGTTTTCTAGGAGCTTGCTTTCTATAGTGTTCTAAAAGTTTCCGTGACAACTATTGTTTCCTATCATGATTTCCTTGATAGAGGATTGCTGCTCACAAGGAAGCTATTGAGCCAAGAGTTCCAAATGGTGAAGTTGAAATCATCCCTTCGTAAATTTTACGGACGCCATCACGAGTTGGTTGACCGTTATGGAATAACCGTTTCACAGATGATATCGGATATGTTCCTTATGTCGTAACTACAATACCCTTCCCTTTTCACGAATGCGACTTACCGAATTAGACTATTTACCGGATTTATAATAACATAAGCAACACGACGGGTGCCACATGTGGAGCAGGATCTGCTTACCCTTCCGGAGCACCTGAGATCACCCCCAGTTTTTGGTGGGGTTCGTGTTGCTTAGTCTTTAGTTTTCTATGTTGTGTCATCTGTACTATTATTTGTCTGTTTGTCTTTGTATTTTTGGCCATGGCGTTGTCGGTTTGTTTTCGATCTATGAGTTTGACTGTCCCTCTGGTATCTTTCGTCCCTCTTCTATATTTATATACAGACACTTAAGTTAAACTTTCAGACATAGACATTAATATTCTCATGAATTCTCTCAGTTGGATTGACACTTTTATTCACGTTAACTACATCATACTAGATTTTGACTTGTGACTAATTGGACATAATATTATGTTTGGATTCCCGCAACAGTGACGAGAAGAATTCCGGATAAAGAAAAGACAAAAGATCGAACATATATTTTGACAGTTATGTTGACATTTCTATTTGTGTAATACTTCTTGTAAACTTGTGTATAATAAATCTTGTTAAATTTTATTATTGATTTGTGTCTTCTGTTGGCTACAATTTAAAGGTGATTTCTGGCCGTAACAATATGCATGATATATTTACCGCCGGACATTAAACAAAAGGGTTTATATATTTTCAAAATCTGCATGGTAATGTTGAATGTATTCTACGATAGAAAATCATGATGTACTGTAAACAGGGTAACGTATCGACTCTTGGACTAGACTGAAAACCAACAGATAAAGCAAACGCAGATTTCGTTAGTACAATCCGGATCAGATTCCCACGCGGAGGACTTATGCTCCAGATTTTACATACCCACCGTTACAAACTTTTCATTAATTGTTCCTCGGGATTCGGACCCCTCCGCGATTTTCGGATCGGTACACCCGGTGTGAAATACTATCTGTTATTCATGAATGGAATTATGTAGATGTTGGCAAATAAATAACATGTAAAACTACAATGATCTTTAATTTCTTGTATTTCTAAAGATTCAAAACGCTACACTGTGACAATAAACATACATTTACATGACGGTGACATTTAATTAGTTCTATTAACATGTATTAACTATTTAAGTAAAATTAAAATTTATAGGTTTTTTGTCAGCTCTAACAATACAAATATTGCTATCTCAATGATTTAAACATGGATCAATAGTCAAATATGCCTCGTTAATTTTCTGTTGTAATTAAATCTTTTCAAAGAGGGACAATGAGGGCTGTCTGTTTATTTAAGATTATATAATATCTACCCAGTCGTACACAAAAGATGCCCCACTGTCTGTTAACATCTAAATTAATCTGACCTCCTATATGTACTATACAATTTTCTCACTATCGGTTTGGATTAACACCAAGTAAAGGTATATAGATATAAAGTGTATCACAGTGTGTAAAGTTATATTGGAACCAATGTTAGCTGAATACAAATTCGGTTATTGACTAGTTAAGGTAGGTCGTTTAATTAATGTGCCAAAAACATTAATAAATTATTGTTTATAATAGATTTAATATGCCATTTCGATATCTTTTGTGTATACATGTAAATATGTCTTAATGTGATTAAATGAGTTTTAATCTGTATTCCAACATTTATCTGCATTTAAATAAGAATATCGTTTAAGGAAATGTTCACTTGACTGACTTATACTTCTACTTGATATTGAACTTCTGTTGTAAGGTTGCAGCCCGCTGACATTGTTCTCATTTTGTGACTTCATTAGAAAACAAATAACATTTTTTTTTTCAAAACGTATATCTGATTATACTGTTTAAATAATAAAAAAATGGGAAAGCAATAAATGAAATATATATATATACTACGTGCACATATATCTTACCGCCTCCTTTTCACAGTTACATTGTACAAACTATACAGTATCATCGATCAATAGTAGACACACACCTCTGTACGATAATTTAATAGACACGATTTAGTGAATTAAAAGTATATATCGGATATGTTTATTAGTCAATGTACGCCAACACTGTACATGTTATTTTAGATAAATATAGATTCTTACATTGATACCAGTGGATTATCGGATTTATCCAATCGAGATAGTTAAATTATCAATTTTAAAGTCCGAGCCTCGGCGAGGACTTTAAAATTTATAATTTAACTATCGAGATTGGATAAATCCTATAATCCACGAGTAACTATGTAAGAATCTGTTTCTCTAATGACTAAAATCTAAATTTTCATTTTTTGTTAAACAAAAATCCCCTTCGAGTGCCTTCCAAATTTCACAAAGTTGTCAATTTCATTAACACCTGTTAGCATATTTTGATTCATTCAGTTAGCTGCTTAAGGTTATGACCCTTAAACTCGTCCAATCATCTTAAGAGATCACCGGCAACCACACGTTGATTAAATTTTTTTATACAATGAGTGCAGAAAGGTATAAATTGTCAAAGAATTAGAGAAACTGCATTAGCAATATGTTTACGTAATGTGTTGTACTATCCTCTAAGACATATAATATCTTCTGATGAAAAGAGGGGAGTTTATATACATCTGTTAGTTTAAACTTCGCAGAGAATATATTCAGTAGGACAAGAGATTGTTATGGAATGAAAAACAATATTGATTTAATACTACATGTAGTAATCGGAGTTAAAAATGATTCTTTCTACGTATATGTTCGAGAAAAGTTAGTCCGCTAAAGTGGACAAAAATGTAAGGGTACATTATTTACCGAATGGGGCTAATACAAAATAACCCAATACAAACAAAAAACCTTAACTTAATAACGTAGCCTGAGGGAAAATTTAAGGCGCAACTCTTTATTTCATTTTGTAGAACAATATGCAATTTTAATTAAAGTCATAAACCTTAGCTCGTTTTTTGTTTTGTTTTGTTGTTAGTTTTTTTTTTCAAACGTAGAGACCCATCACGTTAAATTCAGAGATATTATTTGTAGAAATTCCTTTTGTTTTCCTAAAAAGTTTTTTTTGTCCGACATTCTGGTTTCGAACATGTTATTTTTCTAACATAAAAAAATCAGAACAAAAGCATGTATTTTAATTAATATTATCTGAACCTTTTAGTTTGTAAATTTTATCACATCTTTCCATCTGACGAGACATGCAACTTATTTTTTTCTATTGACGAGTCACGTGCAGAGGTTTTAAGATCATGAGAACATAATTTTTTATGTTTAAACGATATTGATTTAAAGGTTTTTTCATCGCATGTACTTCTTGTCAGATCTGTATTTTTAAAACTGCCCATAACAACAGTCACTTTGCCATAATTTGTCGTAATAGTTTATTCTGAAGTTCATAAGAGAACGACCCCTTTTTTATTTTCTGGTTTTGGGGAGGGTGCAGGGTAGGTTTTCACTGACTGAATATTCATTTTCACCTGGTGCTAGGCAGGCATTTTAATTTTCGATATTGTATACAAATACATGTATATCCTGCTTTTTGTTGGGTAGTATATTCATTTTCATCCTGAATTGGGCAAGAATATTTATTTTCTAATTCTTACTAGTCGAGCATATTCCGAAAATCGTATGGTCGAAAAACATCCACTGAAAACACTATATCGCAATGCTATTGGTTCAGTCATTTCCTATATACTTGTAGTACTTCAGAAGTTTTGGTGCATTAAGGTCACGGAAAGGGTGTCACAATAATATGATTGACTGGTAAACGTTGTAGTTTGCCTTAAGAACATTTAAAAACAAGGAGATTTGGTCAAGTTGCGAATGAGACAACTATCGACTAGAGTACAAATGACGTAGACGTACATAATGTAAGCAACTATAGGTAACTGAAGGGCCTCAACATTGAGCTAAACCCTTGTCGTAATATCAGATACAAAAGGCTCCGACATAGATAAATTTAACACAATTAAATCAAGAAAACCATATACACGATTTATGACAAAACAAAAGAAAAACAAATATGACAGACAGTAACCAAGGACAACTAAATGACAGTTCTCAACCCTATCCAAACCTGTAACCATAGTGTAACAGCAACCAGTAGACTTGGGATAGATATAAGAAGATGTGGTATAAGTTCCAATGAGATAGGCACGATAAGAATGTGGCCGTGTTAATATGTTTGTGAGCTCTAAACCCACCACACCCCTTCCGACAAAGAACAGCGGTGTTACAGTACAACATAAGAACAAACTGTCCGAATCGTTGGAAATGGCTAAACTCATCTGATTGGCACGAAACACAGAACAACATTAAGATAAAAGATGCAAAGTTCCGATCTAAGAGTACTAGCAGCTAGTTCAAAGCAAACTTTCACTAATTAATCAAGTTATCCCCGACTAAAGTATCAAAGTTCACAGCCAACATATTTAGTGTATAGACGTAAGACAGCCTAAGTAAAACATGATATACCAATGATATTGGTTAATGCCAAGACATAGACTCACAGTACCGACATGATGTAGGATCATAACATAGCAATACATATTCAGTTTTGTTTTAATTTATGATAAATCAAATCAATGTTAGTAACGATAAAAGCATCATTCAAAGATCTTACTATGGTGTTAAACAGATAACCTTTAGGTTAAGAATAGGTAAATTCAAAATATCAATAAGTTTACATGGATCGAATCTAAATGAACGGACTCAATCAACAACGTTAACGCTTGTTATTAGAGCCAAACTTACAAACCAAATCTTAGTATCTATGAAAGAATTTAGGAAAAATAAAGAAATAAGAAAATATCGTAAGATTGCCAATGAGACAACTCTCAGCCAGAGACCAAATGACGTAGAAGGTTAGTAACTACAGATCACCGTATGGCCTTCAACAATGAGCAAACCAATACCGCATAGCAACAAGGCCCCGAAATGACAAATGTAAAACAATTCAAACGAGAAAGCTAACGGCCCAAAAAAGCTTTTTAATATTGTCATTTTGACTGATTGACTAGATATCTGGCGTTTAACGCCACTTTTAGCACTATTGGCTATTTTGTGGTGGCCAGTTTGTATTGGTGGCGGAAGCCGAAGTGTCCGAATAGAACCATCGACCTTCGATAGGCAAACTTTTTTTTCATTTTGAGTAGGGACTCACAAGAGATGAATCAACGTATAACTGTTTCTTTCTAAATAAAATAGAAACAAAAGAATGGTTTCTTTGCCGTTACGTGATCAGATAAAAGCCTATATGGAAGTTGGACTGAAGAACTTACATCTGTATAGATAAATGAAAAAAAACTTAAATATATTTAATCATTACTGCACAAATACTTGGCTATAGGGTTGTGCACAAGTTCTTTTTTTAAACAAAAAAAAACATTTGTTCTTCCATTTTAGTAGAGAGCAGCGATAATGGGGGAACGTCCAGAAACTTCAATCAGTCATGCTACATATAAAACAGAATCTTCATCGACAACCAACTACAGTGTTTTGCCCTCGCATAGAGAGTGGACAGCATTTGTTGGTCCTGTTGTTTACACCGGTACGTGAATAAATCATATCATATAAATTATTGCATTTTTTTAATACAAATACATACATAATCAGTGAAAATTTCAAACGTTTAACATACAAATGAAAATGTAACAAAACCAATTAAAAGCCTTTGATCAACTGTCATTATTTTAAGCATCTTTTCTGAATACATGAAATAAACGAGGCATCTATAACTTTTTTTATTTATTTTTAGGACCAAATGGTGAACGTGACCAACATGTATCAGTTAACCTAGATTTCCAAATGGTGGGAATAGGAGCACGTTCGCCGGAAATAACCAGCCAAATGAGTTACCTAAGCAGACCACCTCCTGGTTCAAAGTTTCCTAAAGCTAAACATAAACAGATTGGCGAAATCGGATGGCCTGTAGAAACCTTTAGAATTGTAAAAGGAATTTAACACTTTAATACTACCGCATTGTAGAATACTTCTTTTCGTCATCGGGTTTAAGGCTGACTTTTCAGTTCACACACATTATACATATAAGATTGCTTTCATTGGACGGGTTTCTTAATAATCATGTGTATTTTTCTAAAACTTAAGGGTGCATCAAATTTTTGATTAAACAAATCAATAATACTGAGTTTAATCTTTGTATGTATATTTAAACAACTTCATTACTGAAAACATTTTAAAACTTTCACAAAATTTTGCATCATAATTGTTTGCCTTTCGGCTTGCTGATGTCATTGTTTAATATACTCAGTTTAATGTGCATTTGGAAAGGGATTTAAACCATAAATTTTTTTTATTATACATAAGGCAACCATTTCATATGTACTTGTAGAAGGACCTATATCTACACAATGTACTAATATGTATATCATTAGAAAAACAATGTTAATGTTTAAATGTTGCAAATAGTGGAAAAGAAAAGCGTACATTTTTTTTGCTTGTGATGTTATATATATACAAGTCTAAATTGAAAACAACGTTCAAACCTATGATGTCGTTGGATAAAACCGCAATTTTTATACGTGTGCATGCAAAACAAATTTCTTGGTAGTGGGGTCTAAATACAGCACAAACAACATTTTCCAAAAGACCAAATGAGTGAAAAAGTATATTTTAACAAAACGCATTTGACTAACAGGTCGAACAACTGATGTGCTTAAACCCTGCTGACTGGCATTGGCGATTGCCAAATAAACGGATCACAAGATGTAACAAAACAGATCTTATTATAAAATTATTACCAAACAGAAAAACAATAAACTTGCGGACAAGATGGCATACCGCAAACATGAGGTGCAAAAATTTGTACACCATATCCGGATTTCGACAATTAATGTCTCTTCAGTGATGTTAGGAATCGAAACGGTATTTGGAAGGCCATATAATTTACCTCAACTTAGGATAGACTCTTGAGTTTTGAAAGAGTCAAAATAGGATGAACGGATCATATAAACCCGAAGGCAAATATAATACAAGCCCAAACGAAAAAATATAAACAAGTCTAAATTGAAAACAACGTTCAAACCTTTGATTGCGTTGGATAAAAACCGCAATTTTTATACGTGTGCATGTAAAACAATTTCGTGGTAGAGGGGTATAAATACAGCACAAACAACAATTTCCAAAAGACCAAAAAGAGTGAAAAAGTATATTTTAACAAAACGCATTTGACTAACAGGTCGAACAACTGATGTTCTTAAACCCTGATGACTGCCATTGACGATAGCCAAATAAATTGATCACAAGATTTAACAAAATGGATCTTAATATTAATTTAATACCAAACAGAAAACAATAAACTTGCGGGAAAGATGGTATACCACAAACATGAGGTGCAAACATTTGTACACCATATCCGGATTTCGACAATTAATGTCTCTTCAGTGATTTTAGGGATCGAAACTGTATTTGGAAGGCCATATAATTTACCTCAGTTTAGGATAGACTCTTGAATTTTAAAGAGTCGAAATAGGATGAATCATGGATCATATAAACCCGAGGGGAAATATAATACAAGCCCAAACGAAAAAATATAAACAAGTCTAAATTGAAAACAACGTTCAAACCTATGATTCCGTCGGATAAAAACCGCAATTTTTATACGTGTGCATGTAAAACAATTTCGTGTTAGAGGGGTCTAAATACAGCACAAACAAAAATTTCCAAAAGACCAAAAAGAGTGAAAAAGTATATTTTAACAATACGCATTTGACTAACAGGTCGAACAACTGATGTTCTTAAACCCTGATGACTGCCATTGACGATTGCCAAATAAATTGATAACAAGATTTAACAAAATGGATCTTAATATTAATTTAATACCAAACAGAAAACAATAAACTTGCGGGAAAGATGGTATACCACAAACATGAGGTGCAAAAATTTGTACACCATATTAGGATATCGACAATTAATGTCTCTTCAGTGATGTTAGGGATCGAAACGGTATTTGGAAGGCCATATAATTTACCTCAATTTAAGATAAACTCTTGAATTTTAAAGAGTCGAAATAGGATGAACGGATCATATAAACCCGAGGGGATATATAATTCAAGCCCAAACGAAAAAATATATCAAGTCTAAATTGAAAACAACGTTCAAACCTATGATTGCGTTGGATAAAAACCGCAATTTTTATACGTGTGCAAGTAAAACGATTTCGTGTTAGAGGGGTCTAAATACAGCACAAACAACAATTTCCAAAAGACCAAAAAGAGTGAAAAAGTATATTTTAGCAAAACGCATTTGACTAACAGGTCGAACAACTGATGTTCTTAAACCCTGATGACTGCCATTGACGATTGCCAAATAAATTGATCACAAGATTTAACAAAATGGATCTTAATAATAATTTTATACCAAACAGAAAACAATAAAATTGCGGGAAAGATGGTATACCGCAAACATGAGGTGCAAAAATTTGTACATCATATTGGGATATCGACAATTAATGTCTCTTCAGTGATGTTAGGGATCGAAACGGTATTTGGAAGGCCATATAATTTACCTCAATTTAGGATAGACTCTTGAATTTTAAAGAGTCGAAATAGGATGAACGGATCATATAAACCCGAGGGGAAATATAATACAAGCCCAAACGAAAAAATTTAAACAAGTCTAAATTGAAAACAACGTTCAAACCTATGATTGCGTTGGATAAAAACCGCAATTTTTATACGTGTGCATGTAAAACAATTTCGTGTTAGAGGGGTCTAAATACAGCACAAACAACAATTTCCAAAAGACCAATAGAGTGAAAAAGTATATTTTAACAAAACGCATTTGACTAACAGGTCGAACAACTGATGTTCTTAAACCCTGATGACTGCCATTGATGATGGCCAAATAAATTGATCACAAGATTTAACAAAATGGATCTTAATATTAATTTAATACCAATTAGAAAACAATACACTTGCGGGAAATATGGTATACCACAAACATATATATCAGTAAAAAGGAAATATCTTCTATAAAACCTCTGAGTCAAATCCGTGAACATATAATAGCTTAAAAAATACAATTCAGTAAAGATATTAAAATGAACATTCATATTTACAAATAGATGATTTTGCTGAAGACGCGATGCATTAAGACACTTTTATGATGTCACACTGGTCGAGAGACACACCTTCCTCAAGACAACATACTCATAGTCTTAAACTTGCAGAGAGTTGAGAGTTTTTTTTTTACTTCGTGTTGAAGGCCTTACTGTTTGAGATAAAGAATAGCAATAAAAGTGTTGTTTCTTTGCTTTCGGTGTGTTTTTTTCTGTGCACATACTGATTTTGTGTCATGGATGGATACCCCATATCCTTTGTTTAACTATTATATGGTGCATATAATTTCAGATGATAAAACCGAATTAAAGTGGATATAGTATACGTCAATGAGAGAGCAACATAAAGAAACAAATAACCAAATGACATATGGAGGACAATATTAAGTCTTCACCAATACTTAGTCGAAATAACTTGCAAGTTCCTTTTTATGAATGAGTTACGCCGGTTGACTCTAGGTCAATCGTCGTAAATGACGTCAATGAGCAATCAACTATGTCTATGACGTAATAACATAGGCATTGTGTGACATTAGAAAAGTATTGTCAAATCAAATACAGAAATGGGAAAATCATCATGTTCCTAGTATTTACATGTAAACATGTAAGTTTTTTCCCTTTGTGTAAAATAGAGAATGAAAATAGGGAATGTGTCAAAGAGACAACAACCCAACCAAAGAGTAGAAAACAGCCGAAGGCCACCAATGGTCTTCAACACAGCGAGAAAATCCTGCACCCGGAGGCGGGATTCAGTTAGCCCCTAAACACACATGTGTACTAGTTCAATGAAAATGGACGACACACTAAACTCCAAAACATATAAATGAACTAAAATTAAAAAACATACACGACTTACAAAGGCCTGAGGCTCCTGACTTGGGACAGTCGCAAAAATGCGGCGGGGTTAAACATTTTTTGTGGGATCTCCACCCTCCCCCGTATACCTTTAGCCAATGTAGAATAAACAAACACACAGCAATACGCACAGTAAAACTCAGTTTAAAAGAAGTCCGAGTCCGATGTCAGAATAGGTGACAGAAGAAACTAAGCAAAATGACAATGATTCATAAATTAACAAAGGACTACTAGCAGTTACTGACATGTCGGCTCCAGACCTCAATTGAATTGTTTGAAAGATTATGTCTTCATCATATGAAAATCAAGCACAATCCCTCCCGTTAGGGGTTTAGTATCATACCATCATAAAATATATGAGAAGCACATAACCCGTATCATGACAACAACTGGTTTAAATGTGTTTATTTCCGATGCAAAGACCCTATGAGTGAATCAATGTTAATACCAAAATATGCCATCTTTAATGACCTAACAGCAGTATCGTAACTATATCCCTTCTGAATAAGTCTGTTTAAAGATTTGGTTTAGCTTTTGAGGTGAATGTCGACTTTTTGTGCTTTGTACAGAATATTACCATAAAAGATTGGATGTGAAATACCTGAACGTATAAAATGTCTGCATGTTGATTTATATTTACGAATGATGTCCTTGTACCGATGATATAATTTAGTAAATGTTTTGACTAGTTTGTGATATCAAAAACCCTTGTGTAATAATGAGATATATAAACACCATAAGATGGTGACAAGGGAACGTCACCATCTAAAAATGGATAATTAACAATAGGAAATGAAAAATCATCTCTTTTATCATAAATTTTGGTATTAAGCTTCCCGTTATAGACATAGATATCAAGATCCAGGAAAGGGCAGTGTTCATTGTTAGTATTAGCTTTATTTAAAGTCAGTTCAGCAGGATGAATCTCTTTAGTGTACATACTGCGGTCGCCATTATTGAGAGCCAAAATATCATCCAAATATCGAAAAGTGTTATTAAATTTATGTATCAGATGTTGTTTCGATGGGTCTTTGCTGATTTTAGTCATAAATTGTAACTTATAAAAATACAGAAACAGATCCGCAATAAGTGGTGCACAGTTAGTCCCCATTGGAATTCAGATAACTTGACGATATACGGAATCTCCATAGGGAACAAAAATGTTATCTAGTAAAACTTTAAGGACAGTTATTGTATCAAAGCAGGTCCAATTGACATAGTTCTTTTGGTTGTTGTTACTAAAAAATGACCTAAATGAGTTTGAACATATATATTCGCATTCTGACTTATTAGATGCCCATTTAATTAGGTGTTTGGATTTTTTCTTAATAAGATTATGAGGCAAAGTAGTATATAGGGTAGAAAAATCAAAACTTTGAACAGATTTGACATCACCAATATAAGCATGCAATTTATCAAGTACTTCCAACGAATTTTTGACACTCCAAAAGTAATTAATTTCACTATTTTCAAAGGCCTTATTTGAACAATTTATTACCAGGTTTATGATTGTACCAAGTGTACTAGTAAGTAGAATAGACAGTTTAGTAGTGGAACAATGGCTTGAAGACGAAATAAATCTATAAAATCTATATTTGTAAGGTGTTTTGTGCAGCTTCGGAAGCCAGTACATAGTTGGAACTTTCATTGTATTTGGTTCTGTTTGTAAAGAGGTAGCTTAAAGTTTATGTTTGTTACAGATGTCATTTTCCGAAAATGGAGCCAGTTTGAATGTTGGTGAATTCGTGATTTCCTTTTGCAGAGCCGCAATGTAGAATTTACGATATTATTAGCAGCCTTATCAGCCGGGACAAAAACAAATCCCTTGGCGAGTTCTTTTAGCTTATGTTTGATACGAGAATTGAGCTATTATGGCTTTTGTTAGGAGTTAAATGTTCTCTAAAATGAATTAAAAAAAAAATTTAAGGATTTTTTTTCAACTTTTTCTCGTTTTATCCATTTCGAGCAGTAAGTACGGAGTGAGTCGTGGATGATGTTACGACACTCATTCCAATTAATAATTGACGGGGACGATATCTAAGTCCTTTACTGAGGAATGATTTCAACTCTCGGTCATGAACGATGTAAAGGTCTCTTGTTATAACATGGGAAGTGGGGCCATACATGTATTTGGAATTACTGCAATTTCATGACGTAGGTGTATTGTCACTGATATTAACATCTTTACACACTTCGCTATAACTAAACACATATTTCATACTTAGGACGGCAATATGGAATTAGTACTTGCTTTTAAACTTACACTAGGGATCTTCAAATTAACCATTGAAAATACTATAGTAAACGTTTTTTTTTTTTTTTTTTTTTTTTTTTTTATCAAAGATTATTGTGTCATCAAAAAATAATTGTCAATAGGGTGGTCCTATCTGTCCTTAATGGAAAATAAAGTATTATCAATTGGCAAATATTCAATATTAGTCATTAAAGACAACATCTGTACAGAAGAACGTAAAGTTTAAAGGAAATGTTTTATTTTCTTCATCGTTCTTAATAGTATTTTATAATCTCTACCTCATATAAATAAACAAGTCTGAGTTTTCATTTTATTGATAAAGAGGCGGAATATACCAAGATGACATTCAAAACTCATAAGTGGAAAAAAACATCTGACAACGACATGGCAACAAAAAATAACGGGGGAACACAGTTGATCCGGTTGGGTAAGAAGAGCCTGTGCCACATGTGGCACCCGTCGTTTTGCTCAAGTACAAATCCGCAGATACGTTTCATTCGGTTATGTCACAATCGACGACAAGAGGACGTATTCTACAATTGGAACATATCCATGGTATTCTATGACTGATATCCCATAACGGTCAATCAAGTCTGTCTTATACGAAAAAAGGAAAGAAGAGGAATACAATTGGTTTATATAGCAATATTGATTGTTTGATGAAAATAAAGTCTCCAAAATTAACAAATAGGTTGTCAAGAAAAAAAATCAAATATCTTGATCTTGAACTTTTTGTTTGAACTAGAGTGGTTTGTGTTTTACAAAGTAATATTTATCCCTTTCTTAAAACAAGATATATGTATATACATCAGCCTTTTTTTTACAAAACCAAGTAGGACTATTTTTTTTCAATATGTCGTTAAGTTTAGAATTGGATATGCTATTGTACAGGGTAGAGGTCAAATGTTTTTATATTATATGGCAAGGGTGAAGAGACTTAGATTGTAAATAATCTCAATTAATATACTTTCCTAATAGTCTTACATGTGTTTAAGATAAGCAATAGTAGACAGCAAAATGTTTTTATCTATAGAAATATCTTACATTTAGAAACAGATTTGTTTAAAATATTTCAGTGAACAAAACGTGATCCTCATTTAACTTTTTACAGGAAGACTAAATGCATGCATTGATAACAAGATTAATAGTTTATAAGGTTGCATTAAATCTCTAAAAACCCATCCTTCTCTGGTAGGATTTAACTTATTTAATACAGGAGTTGATTGGAATCGATTATTGTAGTATTCGATAGTGACTCGGTTGAACAGGAAACTGGTTTTAATATAAATAAGAAGATGTGGTATGAGGGCCAATGAGACAACTCTCCATCCAAGTCACAATGAATAAAAAGTTAACAATTATAGGTCCAAGTAAGGCCTTCAACACGGAGCTTTGGCTCACACCGAACACCAAGCTATAAGGAGCCCCCAAAAATTACTAGAGTAAAACAATTCAAACAGGAAAACCAACGGTCTAATCTATATAAAAAACGAGAAACGAGAAACACCTTTGAACCACACCAACAAACGACAACCACTGAACAACAGGCTCCCGACGTAGGACAGGTGCATAAAAAAAATTTTAACGAACATTTTTCTGTTCAAGCATTATTATGTTGCGAAAACTGCTTCAAAATTATTATGCACAATTTTTGAATTGATAAGTTGTCAATGTTTTTTAAGTTCGAATATAATTTAGCCTTTTAGTACTGTTTTGATTTGATCGCCGCCTAATATTCTTATGAAGATAAAACGCGCATCTGTGTACAAAATTTCATCCGAAAGGGTATCACCAGCCCAGTAGTCAGCCTTTTTGACATGCAATATCATAGATATATACATGTTTTAAAATTTATCATTTATTGAAGTTTTTTTTAACACTAAGATTAATCTACCAAAAGGATATACATCCTTTCCCAAACTCTTGTAAAATTTTGGGTTTCAATGCGCTTCAACATCGTTTTGAATTTGGTTTTATAATTTATTTCATTTATAATCCACCATTAGTCGTGTGCAGTCGGAACACGCGTCTATCGTACCAAATTATAAGTATCTTTGATGAATTTGTTCAATGAAGTTGACAAGC